TGTGGATTTCATGAAGCCTGCTGACGAAAAGTCCTCGACAAAATACCGGAGCTTAGAGAACATTAAACCGCTATAATCCCTATCCTGAGCTAGAAATCTTTCCCATCACTTCACATACGTTCATCAGTTATTACGTAATAATATGATTGATATAGTTTTTAATTTTGATAGTTTTACTGAGTGCAACATTCTATGCGAAATGCAATTGTCTAGCGCTTGGCAGCCTGTTCAAACTTTGGGCTACCAAAAATTCTTCACTAAATTTTATTACATCGAATTGCTGCATTTCTGTTTGTTTTAATTATTAAATATGTCTTCAGGTTATATGATTTACTATCGCACAATTTTAAATTAATTTCAAACTGACGTTTGGCAAGTTTACTACAACAAGGAAAAATATCAGAGGAGATACCAATGAATTTTTAAACGCACAACAATACATGGTCTTAGTATCCCTGAAATAGTTTGGTTGAAATGAACACTTTCTAACTGGTTGACTGGACCACCACCGCAACCACTAACACCTAACATATGCATGCTTTCCCATTCATTCGCTTCTTCGAACCTAATTATAACCTGATATCAGCTTGTTGTTCTGTACTGCATGCTGTAATACTGTTTTTACCAAGATTAATGGAATATAATCACTTAGTTTTGGCGTTATAACTTGGGGATCTCTGTGGTTGATTCAACCGAGTTGATCTGTACTTGCAGCTGAGTCCCAAATAGGACGAAACGCACGTCCTGGATTCCACTACTAGCCACTATCTATCATATGTACAATCATTTTATTTGAAAATATTATGAGGGAGTACATTTGTTCGAATACTACACGCTAAGAATTGCATACTGCATCAAACTATCTGGAATAAAGTTATTATTATTATTCCATCACTTCCATTGAGTGTAGTACATTATCTGAAACACTAAGATCATAATTTTCAAACGAAAGCGAGCATAGAACTAGTTGCATCAGATAACTAAAAACCAAGGAGAAACAACTGAGCGAAGAAAATTTGTTTTCTTCAACGAATCATTTTCAAAAGCTGTGCAATCGTAATTGGAGTTGCAACAAAATATTTGTCCATGAATATCCAATCGGTTGACACGACGTTATCAAAAAACTGTTTAGAGGATTACAATAAATAAATTAATAAATATTTAAGCAAATAAATAAAATATTTCGGGGGAGAATATGACCAACGTAAAATTAGGGATTGAAGGCAGAGATCATGACCCATGAATTGCCTAGATTTCTGCTGTGTTCAGGTGGCGAATCCACACTCACTTTGAAATGTTTGATTTGACTTCATAAATGACTTTGAAAAAAGATTCTGGTGGAGCAGAGTGACCAGAGTGAACCAGATAGGCTAATGAATGAGTTGGAACGTTGATTCATCTACCAGTCACTGAGATTGCCAACCTATACATGAATATACATCTGCGTATGCAGGCATACACATTACTGTATGAATTCATGTCTTGAGATTTGACGTACTCTTTGCAGCTTTTCTGCTAGTTATATTCTAAAAACAAGCTTCCGTCTGTAAAATAATGTGTCACTACATTGTAAAAGTGGTTTTCTCAACTTGATCTCCCAGAAACTAAAACCACGGGAAATTAGATATTCGTACAATCCTCTTTGAAGATGTTTGGTTGATCTGTTCACAGTATATTCCTTCCATCAACCGTATTCAATACACTTAACCATCTGCTGAACCCTTGAACACTGCGACAAGCGACATTTTTTCCATCTCCACGGAATGTTTTCAATTCATCACAATGTATTTAAATAAGGACCAGCCTACAAAAAACAAACAGAAATATTATGAATCAGCATAAGAAGAAAAGTAAGAGCCAAAAGGTTTCATCTTAGTGGTTGGATAGTAATGTACCTACCATGAGATTTAATGGTTCTGGGCACAACGTCTTGTGCAGTTGTGGGTGCATACTGGTGGGCATCTCGAAACTGGGCGGATTAGCTGTCCTGTACTTCTAGGTTTCCAATGTGGGATGTAAAACTATCCTGATGAAAATCAACCCAACCAAATAGCTAACACCTGTCTATCGTGTTAGCACCTACAATTACGATTGGTTCTCTTGATCAGTTAATATCGGGAGATATGGAATTCTGAGTTTTCTTCAAAACTGACAGACTCAAGACACTGGTGTCATACAGCTATAAGTGATTCAGTGCACAACAACTTGAATAATGTACTCCAAGTATACCCATCTAAGATTGAAACAACAAAATTTGCAAGCTTGAGGTGTGTGGGCATTTACATATTGATTTCAGGCAGATAATCATCATGGACTGACACAGATTGGAGAGCCACCGGAAACCTGGAAGCGCTGTTCCGTCCTTGTACGAAATTTATCCTCAGTGCCAATCCATAACGATGGCCAGCACGTTAGCATAGAGCTAATCGGTCGACATCTACTGGTCTAAATTTCCAACTTCCGTCAGTTAGCAATATAGCGTGACCTTCTGAATGACTAGTCTGAAATGTTTATAACCGGTGAATAGATAAGCCGGCGTGATGAGTGTGAGCCAGTCAGACAGTGAGTGACACGAGAACGAATAAACCAAATGCTGTGACACAGTCCCCACATAGTATTGATGGGAGGCACATACACAGCCGGTGGAGAGGTTTAGCGTGAGGAAGAGTGACGGTGATTGTGACATAGACACTGTACTTGTCTGTCTACTATCAGAATGTGAGTGGATGAGTTGTGGGACGATGGGATTGGAGATGTTTTTGTTGACGTGCAGTGCCTGAGGCGAATGCTGATTCTCGTTTCGAAAGTGTGGTTGGTATTTGAATGAGTCGGAGATGCACTTGACGCAGAGGTGAGTTATGAATGAAAGGAGTTGTTGGTGTGTCTGGTTATGTGAATGAGAAGTGTGTGTTAATTTCCAGGGCAGCTGGTTAGTTTTGTTGTTAGTTGAAGCAAAGCGTTGGCGAGTTGAGTGGATTGATGAATGTGGGGGCAGTCGGGTGGGTTTGCCAGACTGCCTGAGTATGTCAGACACCTCACACTCTGTTAACTTGTCATTAACCCTGTCATTGGGCTGCCAAACAAAGCTTCGATTCTTCAACGCTTCTTACCATGCAACGAATGACAAGAGTAAAACCGTAACGGTTAAGACGACAAAGAAAGAAGTTTATGTGATCACCTGGATGTTAACTGTAAATTCTGTCGAAACGTCATCTAATAAATAATACTATATCACACTGTGGTTTCCATCAAGTTGATTATTCTAATATGGAATTAGATTCTACTAGTGTGGAGATTTCATGCTTGCACTAGGAAGGGTGTATTCAGTAGCCTTATACACACGTGAATTAAGATGTTTAGGTACAAATAGTCCGTTCTAATTAGTGTAGGGAACAAGTGGATAGAAGAAGTGATATCAAGATAGATAGAGTCGTGTGACAGAATAAACAATTTGAAGATAGAAGTTAGTGCGAATATTCAAGATTTACAAAACGTCAAAGAGGAAATACATTTTTGCCACTGTCACCAATTTTCATCCATGTCACCAAGAGTCCTCAACCACTGATTCCTGGTGTCTTGGGTACTCCAATCAGGCAGTCTACATCTCCTCACACAGCTCAGACGAAAAGTCAGAGATTTCATGGACTGATGCCACGTGTTAGTCTGACTACCCTGAACTCTCTTCCAACCTAATCCAACTTCCCCCAACATAGCACGTCGAGGTATTCAGTGGATTGGCATGCGCAACATATATCAAAGCCACTTCAGTCGACTAAGATTCACAACCTCATCAGTCGACTTGTCTATCCTACCTAGTACGCTTCTGCTGATCTCAAAATTGCTCACACAATGATTCCACTGAAAGCGAGCAATGATGCAAAGACACCTGTGATCAAAAGGTCTGTAATCGTTTCATATCTTCTACTTTTGACGATCATATCTCATAGTCGTATAGCAGGACAGAACGGACTTCAGTGCAATATAGTCAACCTTTGATAGATAGTCGGATATCTCGTCAGTCTGTGTCACAGATCACAAAAGTTGGCAAATGTCGAACGGGCCTTGTATATTCGAGCTGAGATTTCGTCAGTAACCAGCCTGTTCTGGCTGATGCAACTTCCCAAGTAAGTGAAGTGATCGAAACATTCCACTACTTTACTCCCTATCCTTAAACTGGGAGCGGTTACAGATCATGCGTCTTACGAGACGCATGTCAAGAATACTAGTTTAGCAACAACGGGGACGCAGTAAAAAACCGATATATACTATTGAAAACAGAAACTATAAGCAGTAATAATGATGTGTAAACACATCACATGATAACAGAACAATATAGAAAATAAAGGAGAACCGATGAATCAGTGAAATGTAAACTAATGAGTAGTAGAACTGTACTACTGTGTTAAATGACAGGGATGAAAAAGAGAAGACTGGTTTAATAGATTGTAGAAGAATACATGTAACACATAATGATCTCATGAATGCATTGTTCGATTAGAAAATAGAGCAAAGCCAGAAAAACAAAACAATTATGAAGTGTTATTAAATGAAATGTGTACAATGCATTCACAAAAAAGACATGTATACATGTACTGAATAATGTTTTGTATGTGTGTGTACTGAAGTGGAATCCAATCAGAATAAGCACATATGATGCATCTGGCGTTCTGACAGCATTCAATTTAATAATTTACTCATAAACATAAGAATGAAATGTGTTAAGGAATACATTGATAAGTCAATGATTCCAATTACCACTAACATTAGTAACAGATAGAATCGTCGTTAACCATTCATAAATGTAGAACGAAATAGAAAATAACTAAGAGGAGAAGGATGGGATAAGATGACAGAATACCTGAAAGTCTATTTCGGTGGATACAGAAATGCAGCTGAAGCAAATAGGTTCATAAGTCCGACACAATTTTGTTTATATATCTGCACATATGTATGATGAAGAGAATTAGAATCCATGCAACTTTTCGGGGATAATATATATATCACTCAGCTGCTTCATCATCTGATTCTGTTGGTGTATCTAATCCAAGAGGATCTTTGTCAATCATCTCCTGAGGATTGAACTGATATGACTGTGAACCTGCCTCCTCTTCATCTTCTGTAAGCGGTTCAGATGATGCACTTGGCGTTAGATCTGGAGAACTAGTATGCTTTCTTTTTATACTCTCACTGTCTGTACGTTTTGGCGTTAAATTGGAGTCTTCATCCGAAGCTTGTACGCTATTACTATCAATTAGAAGTCGTTTTTCAACTGAACGATTTATTGAATCGGGTGTACTATCTTTTGAAGATTTACTGAACTTCGATGGTGTTCTTTTGTCGCCTCCACTTTCACCAATCTGATTTCCAACTGGTGTTTTAGTGGTGGTAGTTGGTTGTTTTGCACTACTGCTTACAACAAGCGGTGAATCTGGGTTGAATAGTGTTGATGAGGAGATAGAATGTCGATGATTTGAAAGTCCAACGAGACTAGTATTACATTTACGACGTTTTAAACCTTGACTAAGAGTTACTTTCTCTTTCTGTAGTTGGCGTATTGTGACCTAATAAAAGAAATAAGAGAGGAAAATCAATGATCCAATAAAACTACCAACATATTTTGTAGTCATTTTTTACTTATGTGAGTGGATATTACTGTGTTAACGATTTCTAGATCGACTACACACTAGACTAGATGACCGAAATGAATTACAAACCTCATAACTTTAACACTATTGTCTTACTACATTCAACCAGTATGTTTGTGATAAAAATGAAATAAGAGTAGAGAGAATGGGCATCCTTGACATAAATCACTGGAAGTAAACAAATCACGATATGCTCTAAAACTTTCACGGGTGTTCAAGTACACAACCATCAGTAAAGCAATGCGCTCACTCAGAACTCATTTATGTGTTTTAGGTATTTTCATAAGACCTCTCGATTGATGGGATCGAATGCTGTCTTCAGATCTACGAAGACAGCTAGTGTCAGGTATTGGTAAGTGTGGTTGTGTTTCACGACCCAGCAGAGGGTGAATACCCAGTCAATAGACCAATGACTAACTCTCAGGCACAATGTTCGTCAGATATATTTCCCGCCGGTTATTACAAGAGGACTTATCTCCCCGCTTGAACACTGAGAAAGCTAGTGACTGAGACTAGTCCAGGGGAACCATATCTCAGTAACATGCTCCAGCTAACACTTCAGAGTCCTATCTTAATGTTCCACTCAGGTCACGAATAAATAGCGGGTAACTGAAGATTAGCAGGAGGGCAGTTCAAGTATTCCTCAAAGTGCTCCGCACTGCGTTCCAGCGGTCTCCCCTGCGAGTGGATTGCAGACCCATGCGTCTCTGCTATTGTTTCACAGACAGTTTCCAGTTCCCTTGCTAAGTCTAAATAACTGTCTACCGCTGCCCATCATGACTGCCTTCTCTATTTCTTTAGCTTTTTTGACCACTGCCACTCTTCTTCATAGTGCAGGCTTTGTTCGCCTATTTAAAGTTGCTTTCGCTCCTCAATGTGCTCGGAGCCAGCAGGAATTGTCCCCATGCACCCATTCATTCAGAAGTTGCTGAGATTTAATGCTTCCTTTTAACCACTTTCTGAGACGTAGTTATGGTCTTTAAAGCTGTTTTTTACAGCAGACTGGTGATGGCACCAGACCTCTTCTGGAAGAGTGACAATGTTTGGTTCCGATAACTGTCCAGTCAGTTCCCATCATCGAGCAACGCTAAGAATGACCTCATTGCTGTATTCTTCTACATAAACTTAGGTGCAGACATACGCGTGCACGAACTTGTGTCCATCATTTGCAAAGGTGAAGACATTCCTGGAAATCAATTAACTGTCACAGCTTTGAAGAATGATCCTGAATTCGCGGATGTTTTCACTCCTTGTAGTGAATACAAACATGGTAAGTAATGTTAGTATATACTGGTATTTCTATTGCAAGGCGGAGGGGTGGGCAAAATCAACGCCACATACAAGTGTATCAGTTTAAGTTGCTACCTTTTACAGTAACACACAAAGAAAGGAGAGTAGAGAAAGATGTATGAGAGAGAGAGGGGGGAATTTAGAAATTAAGGTAAGTCAAAGCATTCAAGCTTTAGAAAGTATCAAAGAGTGAATACATGTACACTATTGTGACTGATTTTCAGACATTTCACCAACGATCCTCAACCACTTATTCTCATCCTCCATCCGGGAAGTCTACATGTTCCTACACGATTCAGATCAACAATCAGGGACTTGCCACGTCTCGGTCTGGTCACCCTGAGTCTCCTATAAATCTAACTCAACTTCCCCTAAAATGGCACGTCGAGGTAGGAGGTAGCTTTGCATGAGCAAAACATGTCCCAACCCTCTCAGTCGATCAAGAGTCCGAAACCGACTTTCCTTCCTTGCTTAATGTCTTTCGCCTGACTTCAATGTTGCTAACACGGTGATTCCACCAAACGTGAGTAATGCTACGAAGACACCTGTGGTCAAAAAGTCTGTAACCACTTGATGTTTCCTACCTTTAACGGCTATATCTCAGTCATATAACAGGACAGAAGGAGCTGAAGAGCAGTACGCTTGTCCTTGAAATGTCAGTCGGATATCTCATCAGTCAGTGTCAGATATGACACAAGTTAGTAAATGCCAAAGGAGCTTCGTGTATCCAAGCTGAGATTTAGTCAGCGGCCAGCCCCTTCGGGCTTAGATTTCATAGGTGATTTAGACTTTCAAGTAGATTTTCTTTGAGTCTCAATCTCACTATAAAATCACTTAAACTTTAAATTGTACAAAAATTTTCCCACATAGTGAAAAGTCATACCAACCAGAAATGAAGTAGCTATATTATTTTCCGTCACTTTTATCGCTGCCAATCTCTTCATATCTTCATGTTGAGTAGAAAGTCTTACCAGCTCTATGAAATCACATATCCGGCTAAAATATGTGAACGGTAGTTGCTAAAATACCACCCCAAGATGGAAGTAAAACTCCGAAGAAAAAAATGAATCCTATGGTCAGGACAATAGTTTTACCTTTCCACCAACATGACTGAAGAATTATCAAAAATTTTAAAAAGACCAAATTAGAACTTTCTGCAAGAAAACCAACACTTTCCCACGGAAGACAAGAAACCTTTCAATTCTACACGTAATTGTATCTGTAGTTTAGGTTGAGCCGTTTGTGACTCCGATAACACTGAGCAGTGATCCCTCGAAATCTTCATTAGTGCTACAGAGCGTACAACCTAGACGAAACGACTTCCAAATAATCCTGTAGAGTTGAGGAATTTATGTATTAAATCAACAATTGCTGTTCATCTCATATTTCATAGCCACAAAATTGACATGGAAAAAATTAAAAAATTATTCAAACGGATTTTTAAATTACAAGAAAAGATGGATAGCTGAGGCATTATTTCATATCACTTTGAGTCCGAATCCACTCAACTGGACGGAGTGTATTATTATCCAAACAACTTGGACAGTATATGCAAAATAACACGTTATACACAATCAATATAATTAAAGTACATACACACACAAACAAACTAAATTTCTCATCCATAGCATTTTCCCCACACCATACGCATTCATAACTTCACCTTGAAATCACGGACTACTAACTGACAAGGATAACTCTATATTTTAGTCTACTTGTTGGCTAGTAGTGGAACCCAGCTGGACGCGCGTATCGTCCTATTCGGGACTCGTCGCATGCACCCGTGAGTGATGCTGTTCCTACGGAGAGCAGAACTCAGCATTCATCGCCTCAAACGCGACTGAAGCGATGGGGACTAAGTTCGAGTCTCATTGGGAGCAACACCACTCATAGAGGTACAGGCACATCCAGCTGACGAGTCCCAAATAAGACAAAACGCACGTCCTGGATTTCATTGCTAGCCATCAAATAAACTACAACTATCAAGGCAGTACCGAGGTATCCAGATAGTAGCCCATCTGCTAAAAGACATCGAACAACTCAACTCAGTATACCAATGGGGAATTCCAAGTATCAATAAACAGTGATAACGATGACATTTATTGCCATATTATTATCATGTATGAACAAGATGATCTGATTTGTCTCCTTTAAAAAGAAGGCGATAACTTGTACAGGATTTACTCTCTCGAGAAGCGGTTCATTTAAGATTGCTAACCATACGAATATATTTCACTAATAAAACGATTTCCCAATTTTTAAATTGCTTAATTATATATCAGATGAAATGTTGATTTAAGAATGCACTTACCAACAAACGATCTTGTTCAAGTTGTCCAGCTGATTTCACTTTGTGTATACGATCTTCATGTACATTTTTCATATCGATCATTTCAGAGCGTAATTCAGCTATTAACCGATCTTTAGCCAACAAGTCAGCATCTTTAAGTGTTAGTTGACGTTTGAGTGATTTAATTTCATCTTGCAACTGACTAATAGTAAGTAAGTGTTCATTGTATACAGTATCCAAACTGGATTTATTAATTGACAAGAAAGGAGGGAGGCATAAGCATGAAAGGAAGTAAATATTTTTAGTGGGTGTCAAACTAGTAAAATGATTGTTTAGCGTGGAAATATACTACTGAATAAAAATAAACAGCTAGAAATCGCCTCAGGTTAATTTGCAAGTTTAACTTACCTGATCCCAGTGACTTACAAGCAACACCCAAACCCGAACTCAGGAATGATGCATCCAGCAAAAAAGAAAACACCAAAACAATCCAACTCCCATGGAAACTGGCCAAATGGATTGGTATAATATTACACTATAAAAGTGGATTAATAGTTTGTCCTTTTTTAAACAATCGAAGTAAACTTGATTTAAAGCCAGCACATGTCAACATAGCTTCTAGATAACTGACTCTGAACTACTGCTACTACTAGTGTAGTGGGGGTTGCTGATCAGAATAGATATGAATAGTATATGTTGAGAGGATGGCAGGAATCATAGGGAATTACCAACAATGGGTAAATATTCTGTCCAGAGAAACGCAAGAGGGAATGTAGGCGTATTAAATGCAAACCAAGATAGAAGCAGAAGAGAAAATGAAGCAAATTATGCAGATGACTGTCTTAGTGGAAGGTATACCATATTTAACGACTTCTGTACACGATGTCAATAATAAACGTTCCTTCCTTCGTCTCCATCTTCTCGTTTTTTACACTACTACTACCATCACTCATTGTCTTTTTAGGCCTAACTGTGCTTCATGATGATGAATAAGCGTTGAGGATAAAAATACGAATGGCAACTAACTACCACCTTGCTTAGGAAGTATTTTATCACCAACTGAATAATACCTGTGGATAAATATGATGCCCTCATTAGAAGACAGAGAGCACTAGACACTTATGATGTTATTACAATTCATCGACGTCAGTTAATCTGTTAATAGGAGTGAAATAGAAGAAACACAGTCCAGGAAATTCATAAAATAAATAGTATTGGTTCACGATTACTCGCAAGGTTTATCAATTTATATTGTTGAGATAGTTTCATGATATTAAATACTATTCATGGAAGTTTAAAATCGTTCATAATCAGATATTCTGGAAAGTCAGGGAGGAGGGTGTTCTACTTTGCTTCATGATTCTAATTCAGCTGGGTATTATCACTATCCTTCACATGAAATATACAGCTCACTGGCATAAACAGTTGGCTTCCAAACAGTGGGTCATTGGGCTCGAACCCCGTTTCACCTGCCTGGATTTGAGCAACCAAACAATATTAAGTCAAAATTCTTTGTGCACCCGCTTGTACATCCTTGGAAAATGTGATGAGTCAGACTTACTGCGTGAGGGTCAATGATACTAACTGGTTGCCCAAACCTCGGTCAACGGAAAGGGATTCGAAACAATGACCCACTTGGTTAAAAGTCTAGTGTCAAAGCCCAAGAGTAACAGCCACATACCATGCATTATTGTAAACCCACAAATAATGGGTGCAGCTTACTCCATAGTGCATGAACAAGCAAGTAACTGCTGAGAGTCACAGGTAACAGAAAGCAACTGCGAAGGTAGGGAAATATTATGGCTTTTGAATGGACATGTAACGAAATACAGCAGTAGTAAAAATAAACACTTGGAAAGTGTAGGGAGAGCACTACGTAAGATAAGCAAGTTGATTGGTGAGGTAGTAGACCTTCATCAACTGAAATGGCTTTGATATATGTTGCGCATGCCAATCCACTGAATACCTCGACGTGCTATGTTGGGGGAAGTTGGATTAGGTTGGAAGAGAGTTCAGGGTAGTCAGACTAACACGTGGCATCAGTCCATGAAATCTCTGACTTTTCGTCTGAGCTGTGTGAGGAGATGTAGACTGCCTGATTGGAGTACCCAAGACACCAGGAATCAGTGGTTGAGGACTCTTGGTGACATGGATGAAAATTGGTGACAGTGGCAAAAATGTATTTCCTCTTTGACGTTTTGTAAATCTTGAATATTCGCACTAACTTCTATCTTCAAATTGTTATTCTCTCACGCAACTTTGTTAACTTTGAAATGAGTCTTATTTTATTTATATGTTCTTTGTATACTACTGTGAGGTGTGGCAACTTGGAGTGATGCACTTATGTGCAAGGCTCTACGCTGACTTTTGTCTGTCTAAAAAGTATAGTTAAGACTTAGTAGATAAGATACTTGATTCTTAACCACAAAAAGCCATAAGTTTCAGCCCACTTCATAAGCTTCACAGTCCATGGGACCTGGTAGTATTTTACAAGATACATATGATATATATTGTGGTCTATAAACATGTTATCCATCAATCAAGTGTCTACATTATAAGGTGCATTGTGTAACAGGAATGACGTTAAAATTCGACTACATTAAACTTTTCTAGGCGGAGTCAATTCAAATTCATGGTGTAATAGTAATCCATACTGGATAGTAGAGTAGAACTCAAAGAAGTGCATTTTATCTTATTCAGGGATTTTTTATTTGGATATACCTGCAGCCAAAAAGAAATCATTTCAAACATTATAAATTCACCCATTAATATAGTCACAATTGCCATAGCCACTGTTTGTGTAACGAGTATAGTTTGATTTGATGACAGCTGATAACCTTTTGCTGTTGGTTGAAGCGAATTGAGATCACATAAATTCATACTGAACAGATCAATAGCCAGCAAATACAAACTATAAAATATACTGTCTCAATGATTCAAACTCAAGCTTCAACCAGACCAGATAAACCTCTGAATTCACATGAACCTTACCGTACACAATTATTGAATATTAAAGTATAAAATTGGCTAGTACATTTTTCAATAAAACTGAAATTCACATCTCACTCAGCAGCATTTTTTTGTACTTACCTAAGCATCTGGGTCGTTAAAGCCTGTTGAGAATTGATCTGTGTTTCACATTTTCGTGATCCATACTCATCGGTGCATGCTCTTTTCAACGAGCTTTGATTAATGTGAAATCAAGATGATAAGAAAAGTTCACATAATAATACATTTTATTTAGATCAAAGCTAACTAGTAATAAAAACACTTGAGAATTAACAGTGGGAATAACATAAGGAATCAAGAAGTAGGCGGCAATCCTAACCTTCAACGAAGTTATTTCCGTAATAAATGATCTAATGTATGTTAGTGTTGCTGTACTGGTATATCCACTGGATAATAAGTTCGATAGAAATAATCTCAGCGAGGCATTTAGTACTCTATAACCCAGACTGTCTATCAATAAAATCTGGGATTTTCTCTAGTACTCAATTTTATTCAGTTTAGATTAAAGTGAAAAAGTTTTGCTGGGCACAGTTAACGAAAGGTGAATGAATATCTGACTGCTGGACAAACTGTGGGGTATGCAATCCCGTAACTAAAGCGAGACTGAAAATAATTTTGTAGCGGAAGGTAGCAGTCTGCTTGCTTGCAGGTGGCGATCAAACCTTTCGCCTCTTACCGCTAACCGAAGACCTTTTCTAGTAAGATATAAGACGTCAAGGAACAAGTGTTCTTATCAACTCAGTTCACTGGATTATTAGTGATATGCAAGCCCGGTCACCAGAAAGCGCATTGTGATTTGAGGTGTGGTAACTTGAACTATATGAAGTAATGCCTATTCCGATGTCGATAGTGACTCATCTTATCGATATTCCCTTCCCTCCTTGCTTCCTTACTGTATTTGTCGCTAAGATGTACATATCCATGTGATCTTCGAAGTTTTGAATAATTTCATCAGCCTTTAACTACTTATTCTCCCAATTCTCACACTTTTATCTACTCGAATATCATTCTTCCCATCCACTTCTCCTTTGCATGCTGTTGTGGAATGTAGTAACTTGAAATAATACACTCCTATGCAAGGAGTTTACGTTGATTAGTTCGTAGGTCATTTTACGACATTGTGTTTGGTGGGAAAAAATTTATATATATATATATATATATATATATATATATATATATATATATATATATATATAAAGGTCCTGTTTGATGGCATTCTGTTTAAACTTAGTTGTTTTGTTTGACTGTTAGTAGATGCTAGTAACTTTAGATCGTGGGAAGTATCATAATTCGAATTGTTTTTGCAATATTTTAGTTCGGCTAACATTTAAAATACTTCTTACAGAGTTTTAATACGCTCCTAAAGTTCGTTTATTCTCATAAATGGTCGAGACTGCCTCGCGTGAACTGCTGTTAATACACTATGTTTGCAGAGAATCCAAAACAACCATACCTACGAAAGTAGAGTTGTGGCTGACTGGTTCACGGAGTAGACTTTCAACTAGTGAGCCACGCGTTCGAGTCCCACCCCACCTATGGACATTTGGGCAGCCAGACAGTCTCATTAGCCCTCATACAATAGGTGTGGTTCATTGCCTACTGCATGAATGTGTACAAGGTTGCTGAGTGCATTTTGACTTCTCTTCGATACCCATAAAGTGATATTTATTTGGTTCTTTAAGCTAATATAGGAGTAAGACTTGGGTACTTTGGGAGAGTGAAATTCTGTCTTAGTTGACTTATTAGATATGTATCACAGTGGAACAGGATTATTTACTGTATTACGTTTTTGACACCATTTATTGTTCACAGTCATCTCAAGATAACTCCACAACTTTGAGACATGCTTTATATGATTCTTATTCTTTCACCTGCTTTGTAATATACATAGCAGGATTTTTCATATACCTGGAACGTAATAATAATAGTTGTAATACTGTGAAGAAAGAATTCAAAACCTCTACAGTATTACCACAAAAGGAAGGCACCTCAGAGACATTACGTAGGATTCTCAATGACGCTGTCTGGGATTACAGTAGCATTTAAACCTACAAACTGACTAAGAAATAAGCTTTGTAGGTTTAAAGATCCTGTTGATCCAATCAAGCAGAATAATTTAATTTACCAAATTCCCTGCAACGATTCCGAGGTCAAATACATAGGTGAAAGTAGTCGACCAGGGTCAATATCAGGTTATCCGAGCACAAAAGCATAGCTACATTAAAATTGGTAGGTCCTAGTAAGAGAAAACGCCGGCCATGGCTGTCCACGCAGTTACACACAACCAACCACACAATAGGATGGGACAAAGTGAAAACCCTTAAAACTAACCTAGCGGGCTGGAGGGAGAGATCGATAAACAAATCTGTGTTTACCGAATCAAAACCTAATACATGCGATAGGAATAACCCACGACATGTTCCAGATATATGTGGCAAATTGGAACTATATATAGCATGTCTCAAAGTTGTGTAGTTATCTTGATATGGCTATGGACAATAAATTGTGTCCGAAGCGTTATCCAGTAAATAATACTATCCCACTGTGTGAAACACATCGAGTAAATAAACTAGAATGGAACTAATGTTAAACTCACAAACGAAACACATTCCTATTGAGGTTTAGAACATTTATGTGGCTGCGCCAAATAATGAGGGGATACACCCTTTAGGACAACAGCTTACAGTGTCACAAGCGTATTAATGCCCTACCATTTTCATCTAAACTGTAACGTTATACGTTTACTTCTTATTCTCTGCAATATTGTTTTCATTTATCATTCCATTTGTGATGTTTCACCTTAATATAAATTTAGCCGGCACACAATTATGCCAGGTTTTGTTTGGTTTACGTTTGCCTATTTGTCTTTCTGTCAGTACGAAACTGTGTATCGCCCATGTGCTGAACAGCCTAGAGTTGGTTAATTTTTCTCCGAAATATGGTTATGTAACTAATTGTTACACGAATACGCAAAATAGTTAAGCTTGTTAACATAAATTTATAGAATAAATAAAGAGAGACAGTAAACATGACCTAAGGCAATGAACTACTAGAGCTCCTTTTTAAGATGAAAAACTACGACTATGAAAAGGCCAAGGTAAAGGTAAAATTTAGGCACTGTAGTAGAGTATAATTCTACATCAAAACAAAAAAAATTTTTAACAGTTATCAAAACATATTTGCCAGATATGAAGATTTATTTATATTACTGTGAATGCAGGTATCAGATAACAAATCGGGGTGTGAGTTTAGTATGCTTGTGACGCGAAATGAACAACGCATACAAATGGATATCTAGTTACACGGATAGCTCATAATGTACATTCCCATAGATTAAACGATCATAAGTATTTATGGCCCAGTGTGTAGTACTTTGATGAAACTGTTCAAGACAACTTTTTTGGAAATGAGTCAATATCCAACTCCTTTGATTGCATTTGTTTTACGTGGGAGGAGTCTTACAATGGCTTAACGTCTGTGAAACATGACGTTTTAGAGTTGAAGATGTTTGGTGACTTTTTGCTGGACTATTATCTGCATAGCATTGCTTACATTTTGTGACAACAGTATGTAAGCAATCCTGAGGTTTGATAACATATGTGTCCTTGGGCTTGATGAAAATAGTCCGTCAACAAATGAAGTCATTTTGAAATACTGGCCTAACTGGCTTAGAAAAGTCTGTCATATTCTATCCCAGCGGTCACATTGTCACATAGTTTGCCGGGTAAGGACCTGGTTAAGAGAAGCAGAGAGGTGGTTGGTCTATGACATGGGATCGTACAATGAAGGACAGTTTTGAAACAATAACAACAACCTTATGGGTGGAGTTCTACTGGTCAGTCAACATCAGCATGAGCCTAAGCTTTGCTGTCTAATGGTCCAGACTAAAGCCTCACATCGAAATACTCTGAGCAACTTTGTGCACATTCGTGGATTAGACAATGAGCAACACTCGTTATGTGAACACTAATGATACTGCCTCGCCATCAAAACCACACAAGTGGGAACAGCGTTCGAACCCGCTACCCTTTGGTTGGAATTCAAATGCCTAAATCAATGAGGCACACCTCCACATCGAGATAGACGGCAACAAGATGAACGACAAAGAAATGCAAACGGTATGATCAGAAGTCACAGCAAGTCACAAGGTGAAAAAATGAGGATTTGTAGCAAATAACGAAACCTGATGGAGTGCCAGAAACCACGCAACGTAATCGATTTTGATTTTATAAGGTATAAGTGGGAATCGAAGCCAGTGGAGATCATGCTTATGTAAAAGGCTTCTCCAATAATGTATCTATTTCCCTGGTTGTTCTGTTACATTTCTTACTTCTCTCTTTCCCTTCAATATTCATAATGTTGTTACATAATTTTGTGTAAAACGTTATTTTAATAAACACCAAGACACGACACTAACTCATGAAGTATTCCAAACTTAGTCTGGAAAGAGAGTAGAAGTACACCTCCTTCCTAGTCACAGTAACATCTGGCAATTCTGTTGACTTTCTGGTCTATTGAGGTGTGCATCTATTTCAGTCGACACATATGAGTACAATTTAAAAAGTTTTACATTTCCTCAGTTCAAAACGTACACTAACTCAGTGAAAACGAGAGAAAAACATGCAAATGGAGTATGGGTAGCTTACTCATGAAGAGATTTTGAATGACTTGTATCTGAAAACTGATTATTATCGTGTCGACGTTTAGTTGATCCATGAGTAGACTTTTCTCTAGATCGAGCTAATTTAAAGTTGTACGTACACACCCAACAGAGAATCTGACCATCAACCTTTACGCGGCTAGCCTATACATATTAATAAAAACAAACAAAATAAATTTATCGACAGTGAACGTTAAGAAAAATTAAAATATCTCCAGACAGACAGACAAATCAACGTAGAGCCTTGCACATAAGTGCATCACTCCAAGTTGCCACACCTCACAGTAGTATACAAAGAACATATAAATAAAATAAGACTCATTTCAAAGTTAACAAAGTTGCGTGAGAGAATAACAATTTGAAGATAGAAGTTAGTGCGAATATTCAAGATTTACAAAACGTCAAAGAGGAAATACATTTTTGCCACTGTCACCAATTTTCATCCATGTCACCAAGAGTCCTCAACCACTGATTCCTGGTGTCTTGGGTACTCCAATCAGGCAGTCTACATCTCCTCACACAGCTCAGACGAAAAGTCAGAGATTTCATGGACTGATGCCACGTGTTAGTCTGACTACCCTGAACTCTCTTCCAACCTAATCCAACTTCCCCCAACATAGCACGTCGCGGTATTCAGTGGATTGGCATGCGCAACACATATCAAAGCCACTTCAGTCGACTAAGATTCACAACCTCATCAGTCGACTTGTCTATCCTACCTAGTACGCTTCTGCTGATCTCAAAATTGCTCACACAATGATTCCACTGAAAGCGAGCAATGATGCAAAGACACCTGTGATCAAAAGGTCTGTAATCGTTTCATATCTTCTACTTTTGACGATCATATCTCATAGTCGTATAGCAGGACAGAACGGACTTCAGTGCAATATAGTCAACCTTTGATAGATAGTCGGATATCTCGTCAGTCTGTGTCACAGATCACAAAAGTTGGCAAATGTCGAACGGGCCTTGTATATTCGAGCTGAGATTTCGTCAGTAACCAGCCTGTTCTGGCTGATGCAACTTCCCAAGTAAGTGAAGTGATCGAAACATTCCACTACTTTACTCCCTATCCTTAAACTGGGAGCGGTTGGAGACCAGTCCTGGAGCTGCACCATACATTTAAGAGGCTTCAGACCTAAGTCAAATATACTCAGATTTTTGCTCAACACGTTCAGAAAACTCGGCATTTTGTCAGCGTCTTCACCAGACACATTGTATACCAGGAAAGATAAATTATTTTGTGAAGTAGATATGAAATTATGAATTGCATGAACAAGTTACCGGCATTAATCAGCAAGCAGGTTTAGAAAGTTTATTGTTAATAAACCGTTTTCAATGGAAGGTGTTGAATTGAAACTGAGTGCTGCTTAAAACATTTCAGACAATTAGATGTTATTAGTGTGAAACACAGGATAGTAAAGAGCATGCTTTACTGAAGCTCACAAAAATGAACTCATTCCTCTGGATTGTACAGAAACACTGCTGTCTCAAAACAAGGATTTCGGTATACATTGAACCCCGATAAGTTGCTTACAAAAGTCACTACCATGGTATTACGTCACGGATATCCCTACTCTATCACCCTTGTGAATTTCTTCAAATCATCGAGTTTTCAGTATTACACAGAAATAACTCCTACAGTTCTGACATATTTATTCACTTTTTTAGATAGTGAGAGCCCAGATAATGACAATAGTGGAATGAATCAGAACATCTACACCAAGACTGAGAACGGAAAATTAGTTGTACGGGCAAGTTTTTATTTTTTATTTTTCTCGCTTGGTTTTTCTGTGCACTTGTGTTTCTTATACTGTTATAACCTGTATATATCATTTATGTGAAAAAATGTTTGTTACTGTCATAAACGCAAGCTGTTTCTGTTTAAAAGGAACTTAACAACAGGCTTATGTTGAACGAAAGTAGTTGTCCAGTTTTGCTAAATTCACTAATGAACAACTCAGCTGAAGTCCTATGAATTACTCTACAATTATAGTTGGGAATGGTGTAGTTCGTAGGTTTAAAAACCGTGCTTTCAGTTAGTGTACTCCAGGATGAAACTCTACATCAACTACTGAGGTTGAGTACTCCTTTTTATTACCTGTTATACAAAGATTGTTAGTTATAGTTTAGTGTACAAACCTGTACAGAATTGTTGAGTTACTACTAAAATTACTCACTACTTCATAACCGGAAGCCACTGAGGCTTATTATGATGCTTAATTATGAAAATATAAAACAGCGCTACACTAGCCAACTACTTATTTGTTTGTATCATATGTGGTTATCTATTTTATATTTTAAGCATTATAAGACACGTAACATCTCAATTACTGAAGTTGACCCGGCGCTAGACAGGTTCAGCCAAGAGATTGTGACTGCTTCTTAATTTCCGACCACTGGTGAACATATATGCTTATTTGAAATTCAACGGACAAAAAGGTAGTGCTATCTGGAGTTTTTCAGCTTTGATCGGAGAGATGAGAAGAGTGTGTCTAGGAAAAAACTAACTTGATGGCTAAACTCCCCAAAATTAAAAACAGATTTAACCCACAGCAAAATTCTAAGAGAACCTAGTGGGTTCCAATAACTCCACTTTAAAAAGTGTACGAAGACTTATCGTAGCCTCCTTCAGTGTGGAGCAAAGCTTAAATACCAACGGATAGTTTATACAATTGCAAGTAGTGGGAGGTACAAACACGATGGAGAATGTCGAGGCAACAGGTAACACTAAAGTCTAAGTTTATATATAGGAGAAACTGAAGGAAGCACAAAAGGGTAGCGAAACTACACCGAAGGGAGGCGGCCCAGTTGATAGTTGTTCGAAGCAGATGAGATGGTGAGTAGGACAGATCCTAAAAGTGATCTCAACTCAGAGAGCAGTTTGGGCCGGTTAGTAGTATTGTAAATTCTCATGTTGATATTCACATTAAAAACAGTGAAAAGCGGTTCAACTGGTATCCAGTTACCTTTCAAATACTCATTAAATAAATTCATCCAGAATAATATATTGATATCCAACCTCTAGATGTGACAGAAATTCAGAGGAGGTAGAAATTCCCGAGTTAGCCCCTAAATATTTAAAAGTTAGTAGTCTAAATTCCTCAAATACTTTTCAAAGTATTACTTGGAGCATAGGAACCAAACATAATTTCCTTATGATTGAATTCAGTAACTGACTGCACCAGTTTTTTATTAATTAATCCCCCTTAAAATTCTAACGCCTGAGTGAAGTTTAGAAGCAAGAAACTCAGGAAAAATAGCCAGGTCCCAGGTTATGTAGGGAATGCACTCACCATACTGTCAGATGCCAAAGCAAGGGAATATAATTAGGTAATTTGAGACATTTTTGGGTCTGACGAAATCCATCCGAAGGTCTGAGAGTAGTTCTCCATACGGAGAGGAGTGGTTAAAGTATGAAAAACTGCTGAGGAATGTAGTTAAAACTAACGTCCAGATATTGCTTCAAGTCGATGATTAGTGTTCATTAGAGATGCCTGATCGTTCCATTTGTATTCACTCCTGTCATAAGTGTCCATTAGGCGGTTCAAATAGCTATCTTCAACTTTTGAAGGTTGTGTGCCTGGAAATCCTCCAAGTAGTTTATAGGGTGGCGATGGTAGGATTTTCGATGGGTATAGATGTTGATGAAACAGTTAGGAATAAGTTGCGTGAAAACCTCAGGACGCATCTGTAACCTTAATACAAATGACCGCCTAGGAGTTAAGTTGAGTAAATTTCCAGGTCAATAGTGAGGAAAGAACTAATTGAGTATTTCCACCAGTTCACCTTCATGGAATTGCTATCAAATAACAAAGTCTTGAAAGGATACGAAAGCTGCATTTAGCGTTTGTTCTCTTATTCACTTCGTTCTAACAAGCGGTTGAGACACATCACCGCTGAAGGTGAGATTTGCACTCAAGATGAAGACCTAATTGAAAAAGAATATATTTCTTCGCTCAATCAGTCTCTTTCTAAATGTCTAAATGGGAATATTCAATGTATTAAAAAAACTGTCTTTGAAGCAACTCTTGCATAAGATGAAGCTATTGAGTGCCCGATGTTAAGGTGGAACAGGTAATTCAGTTGATGAGGTGAACTGAGGTGAGTGGGATGTGCTTTACTATTTGGGGCACCATCATACACCACAATTTGTTATGGCGGTTAGTCTAGTAGTAGCATCAAACAGACTCCAGGGTGATTAGACCATACATAATGGCTTGAGTCATCCAATGAAGAAAATATTTCTTGGATGCAGTCACAGGTGAACTGAGTTCAGTGAAGATAAACCAAAGTGACTTACCAAATGAACAGCCGATCACATTCGACAAAGGAAAAGAATGTATTTGAAAGAGTAAAAAAACATAAAACAACTATAAGGGGTGATTTATCGTACGCTTAAAAATGTTTACCGGTTTTACTTTGAGATATCAGTAAAAGGGCGATAGCTGCTTTTATACAACATGTACTTATCTAATATGTAACGGGACTACCTAGGGAGTGATTGGTTGTTGAACGTTATTCGGTATGCTGTTGGTTGTGTCATTATGGATAATCGTAACCAACGCTCTAAGTCGTTTTCGTTTCGCTTATCTTAATTTCTCTAGTGTTTTCGGTATCGTTCATTAAGCATAGATAGGGGAAACATAAGTTAACTGTAATGCAAAACCGAACAAGGAGAGTACTAAACATTCCACTGAAATGATTTCACACTTCAGTATTTTAACGGAATATAATCAAGACATTATTTGTTTTTGTGTCGCTTTCCTCAGCAATAGGAATTAATAAATTTTTGTTACTTTTACGGTTACGAATGCCAACCACCTTAGTACAGGGATTATATATAAAGCGCACTTTCGAAAAACGGAGTAACTTTTTCCCCGCTTTTGATAAATTTGTTTTCGGTGCTAATCTTATCAAAAGCTTTCTGGTGAACTTTAACTTCAAACTATTCAGTTACAGTTGGTATCTTTGTCTACTGAACATGTGTGGAGTAAATTTAAGAAGAAATTTCGAACTCATATGAGTCCCCATGTAACTAAGAGGAACGAAGATATCTCAGCCCTGATACTGCACTAAGATTCACACCAAGTGGTTGACAATAATTCCACTAGGGTTAAATTTTTATCAGAATACTTCAGTCA